CTGTACCTTAGGGCATTGACTTTAGATTACTTTGGGTCACTTTTTGGAGATGATCTCAAGTTGTCGAATCTAGAACCTATTTGAACATTTGAGAAGTAATTTTGGTGCCAATGCAACACAACATGTTACGAACTATGAAGCTGCCACTGGTGGTTAACACCTACTTTGGCTATAGCTGGCGTAACACTTACTGGTTGACCTGACCAGACCTGACTCGACTTATGCCAAATGCTAGAAAAAGACTCAGGTTCAGCGCAAAATTTTGTGCTAGGTAGCACTGAGGCTGGAGGCTTGTATTTTCGATTTTTTTTTAAATCGTCTAGTAGGGCAATGTGAGGGGGCAACAAACTAATACAAAAACATGGGTCAGGCACTGCGGATCCAGAAAGGCGACGCTGCGGGAAATGCATAGACTCAAAAAGTCTCCGAAATCCAAAAAAAAAAAATGATCGAATTTGTATTCCCTTATGCGATGCCGTGCACTTTAAAGCAAACTTTTTGTAATAAAAAGTAAGTTTTCGTCTTATTCCTGAAACAAAAACGTAAATTTCCGTCGATTTCTGGCGCTGCCGGGGTATTTGTCCCAAAGCCCCTCCTCCTGGATCCGCCAATGGGGTCAGGTGGCCTACCATTTTTGTTTTTCTTTTTTAAGAAAAAAAAAAACTATCGTATCAGGGCTATGACGAAAAATAAGTGGCCTAAATCCGATGAGAAAACAGGATTTTGGGTACCTTAGGTTTGGCTCCGTGACCTGGTATGCCCCCCCCCCGCGCTGAAGCCCTGGATCCGCCAGTGACTGTCAGTGCGTATTGAGCGAAAAATGTGGACCGAGTGGGAGAATTCGTATTATCGCTCATCCCGTTATTGTTAACATAGGGAAAACTTTGGTCGCTTTGCGGGACGGGATAAATTTATCCGATCGGAATAAAATTTTGCACACAACCTTGTGTCATGGTATCGACAAGAATTCCGACCCGGCCCGAAAGATCCTAGAAACTTTTGCAAAATGGACCACCCTAGTAACCACCCGCCATGTGCGGGCGAGGGCTAAGTGGTTTCGTAGAAAACCGAGAGGAATTTCATCCAACTTCCAAATTATGCCGTGATTTAGCTACAATTCAATCCTGTTGTTGAATCTCCCACTTAATTTTTTATTCTGTAGGCATTTAAACACTTTGCGTTTGTAAATTTATAGGCTGTTCTCCATATTTGACAAAATAATGAAAATATCATGAGCAACAGGTTTACTCGAAAGTTAAACAAGACTGCATTGTCATGGTTAACCCTCGCCCGCACATGGGGGGGGGGGGAGGTGGTTGCCACCCTCCCCCCAGGTAGTTTTTCTGCTCTGCACTCAACATTTTTAGAGCTAAAAGCCTGATTTCGTATAGCTGCTCCTCTATCCTTTCTTGATGTCCACTGAAAATTTTAAGTTCCTGTGGTTTTTGGTTTAGGAGATACTGACCTTGTTCTTCAGGTCATGTCATAACCCAAATGACAAATACTTAATATGTTGCGTTGGCTATGGGTCTTGTGAGCTTTTGACACCTTGATTTTGACCTGTTTCGCCAGTCTTACCTTCCACCTATCATGGAACATGTTGTTCGACGATGTACATATGTCAAGGTCAGGGTCAAGGTCAACCAAATCATTGCGATATAGGCAAGCTGAATTTACTTTTCGTGAAGTTTCTTTGACTGTATTTTTGGTAAAACCTTCTCATTTAATGATCTCATTTAATATGGACACATAAACAATCGGTGCACACATCATTATACACACATACAGGGTGGGGCAGCATAATCGGGAATAAATATCAAACGGGATTATTTGGTCATTAATTTAAAAATATAGCTCCAAGCACTATTTTAACAACATCCCATCAATCGGTCACCTTTTACCTATCCCTCATCCTATTTGACCGCCCTTCGCGTCGATGACCTTCTCAAGGCGGGTCCAAAAGCACGCGCATGCACGTGCAACCTCCTGCTTGTCCATGATCGCCCATCAGCTTCGTACCTTGCACTGAAGACCGTTTTTACTGATGATAAGTTGTTCATTAAACTTCTACCAAAAAACGCTCCATATAAAGAATTTGGTCGGATTTAAATCGGCGGAGTTGAAGGACCAGAAGTTTTTGGTTCATCTCAGGTGGAGGTGCCCTACACAATAACATGTCGTCCTCACTGCAGTACCAGCACGGACAGAGTCCTCGTAAGACGTGATCTGGACCGTCAGTGATCCTCTCTTCCGACGACTCCACGTGTGTCTGCCAGAGTGTGGATGTATTTACCAGAGGTGCTCGTTTTATCCGGGCTCGATGAAGTAGGGTGCACCTCGTGCACCTCCCTTGAAGACCACCCATAGGTCCATCACCTCAACAGGATGTTTACTTTGCATGACCGCTGCAATATTCTCGATACAATCCCCCATATGGCATGCCATTCTTTTTTATCGTATTCCAGTCGGTGATAAGATTTTTGGTCGCTGAAGTTTTGAACATTGTTTCTTTTTATATGCTCAAGAGCTTCTTCCTTATATTCAAGTGAGTCATCTTGTATGTCCTCTGCTAAGAGTTATTTTACGACGATTACGTTAACTTTTTGTCCTAAGTATCCCCACACAATCCTTATCGTCCGTGATAACACGTTGACCTGTCCAGCAACCTTTACGTGGAATGGCATTGTTTTAAACAAAATGTTCTTGTTTTACTCGTTTAACATTAGTGTCTATGGGCGCGCGCAAAGCACTTGGAGCACCGTCGAACTATTTTGCTGCTCTTTTCCAGGAAGTTGCATGCTCATGGATGTAGTCCTGTCAGATGATGCACAACTTTTGGGCGTTTCATTGCCATGATATAATTTATCAAAATAATGCCATGCCTACTCATGACCAGAGCCCAAAAAGCATTCCCGATTATGCTGCCCCACCCTGTACACTCACAGACATGCAAACACATATCATTGACCTTGACCTAACTTGACCTGAAAGGACCTCAGCAGCAAAACCCTGGTCGGATAGTGTGACAAAGAGGTTCTAACTGGCTTGGCACCACAAAACGGCATCGTCATCGGTACCTATATGATGAGCAGCGCACTTGATATCCAACGGTGACCCAAAACAGCAACATTTTTTAGTTTGACCTGACCTGGAAGGTCAATGACTGACCTGAGAAGGTAAAACTGGGTATCATGGATTTGTCTCTTCCCAAAGAATCTTTTTGGTCCCTACCACGAAGCTCTATCTCCAACAGGAACGAAATGGCGCGGGAGGATGGCACCCCCCCCCCCTCCATGTGCGTTCTAGGATAGGAAAATGACATGTGCGGGCGAGGGTTAAGCATATCCTGTGATTTGCATAACGCAAAAGGAGAAACATGTAGTTTACTAACGGATGGTAATCGTTGGATTATTAGGTTGAATGAATTGCTCGATTAGATTGAACGATAGCAGTTGTTAGATTTGCAAGAGCGGTGTTGTATTCGTTTGAAAAAAAAACTTCTGAACAACCGATTGTGACCATGATACGTGGCAAACAAAAACTGACTAAAATACTAAAATTGACTGAACAAATTATAGTTAAGTTCCAATGTGGCATGATGAACTACCTGTGTGGCAAGGCATCAGCTGTTTTTAAGGGATTTCCTACAAAAGAAAGTAACTTTTAACCTGTGCTGATTTTAATCAATGATCGAGGAGAAGGTCATTTAAAATACCAAAGCTAAAAAGTTTCCATCGAAAGAACGCCGCATAAAATTTTGTCATGAAGCAGACGCATTGGTATGCTAAGATGTCACGTGCAAAGGTCAAGTGCAATCAATAATCAACGCGTTTCAGCCGCGATTTGGGAGCGCAAAGCGTTTTCCAAGCGGGACGCGTTTTCGACGCGGGTTGTGAGCTGAACTGCAAGTGAAAACACAGCGGACGAAGCGATTTCCGCGCTTGACGCGAGTTCGACGCGATTTGCAAGCGTGTGCTGTGTTCCGGCCTTAACTCGAACCGCAAGTATGACCACATTTTTTTAGGAGAAAATGGCATCCGGGAGGTCGTAGGCCCATCTTCAAGCAAGACAGTGCATCAGTGCACAGGTCAAGCAAAGCTTAGAAGCAGTGCCAGGAGACTGTGATAGGCGTCTGTGGCAAGTTCACATCCCAGGCAACTCATCGGATCCAAATTTCATAAAAATGTGTTGGGAATATTGAAATCGAGGCTCGTCGAAGCGAAGCGGTGTTCCAGCATTGAGGAGCTCACGGCCCATGCCAAGTCAGTCTGGGCTAACTTCAAGCCTGCTATGCTGCCAAACATGCCGGTTGGCATGTCGCAGCATGTATTCATGTGTTTGCCTATGAAATGGGGAGCACATTGAGGGATTATAAACATATCAACACGCAATGTACTCTGCTTTACATGCAAATATAAGGTGCGAACGAACTTATGGGACACCCTGTACATGTAGTACATGTAGTACATGTAGTAAAACACCCAACCCTCCTAACAGTGTTCTATTACCTTCTTCCTGGTGTTCATTTAGAAGCGCGAGTAATTTAAGCGGGGAAGGGACTAAATTAACTTTCCTCAAGTGCTCAGATATGTACTGTGCAATTACACCGCTAACGGTGTTAATATTTTTTGTGTGTACCAATAAGTTTAAAAACTCAAACAGCTTATTGGTTTTGGCATGGCATCGGTACACACACCTACACAAAGTTGCTTTATGCAGGTACGGGGACCCGCAGTTGCTACTGTACAGCGACCCTGAGTAAATTGTCCCAACACCCTCACAGGGTACAATGTCAGAGGGCACGCACAGAAAACCTCAGCTGCTCTTGTAGGTACAGGGACCGGCAGTCGATATCAATGTTATCGGTTGTTACTGGACAGGACAGACGGCTAGAGTTGGGGTTCGTGTACAGTAGCAACTGCGGGTCCCCGTACCAATTTTAGGAATATTATCTATTCTGTACTAAGACCCCCTGTGCCTGCCGTGCCTCAGCTGCGATGTGTTGACTTACGTGGGTCCTGGCAGACCAATGTGTTTACATAAATATAACGAGGATGGGGGGAGGGGCGGAGGTCGAATATGTAAACAGACGGGACGTAGAGAGCAGTCCGCGCGTGTTTCACATCAGTCGGTCTGCTGCGACAACCAGTGTCGGACGTCAGTGCCAGAGTGAACCCTCGGTGTTAGATCGCTGAAGGGAGGAGTAGGGCCGGCCGGCTGGGCAACATTTCCCGTAGCCTGCAGGCCTTGTCCGCTGGTGCGGTAACCAGCAGCCCTCCGAGGCCTCCCTCCGGGTGCGTCATGTCCGTCTCCGGCGCGCCGCCGACCGCCGCCGCGCCGCCGCCACCACCGTGCTGTGTGTGCAGCGGCCGTCTTCCCGGTACCGAGTACTGGGACATGGAGAAGACCTCCACTTCCTCGGAACCCACCCCGCTGTCGGAGGTGGCGCGCCGGCTGCGGCTGGGCGGACCTGCTGCCGCCCAGGTGATGGCAGCACCCCGACTCGTCTGCGACAAATGCGCGGACCTTCTCAACAACTACCACCGACACTTTTCGCTGGCCATGCGCTATGTGGGGGCACTGATCCTGCGGGTCGGATCTCGGGGACTGGTGTGCTCCTGGACTGATCAGGAGGCCTCAGCCGAAGAGCCGTTTGATGGAAGTGTGAAGTTCCCAACCGACCGACAGTGCGGACCGCAGGGAGGTGGCGAGTACGGAGGCACGACACCAATGGAATTGAAGAAGGACAATGGACAGAGTGGCGTCACGGGTGGCGAGGGTGGCGGACGAGGTGACGCAGTCGCAGTTCCCGAGCGAAGCCCGACTGTAGAGCCAGCCGAGCAAGTCAGCGTCATCGCCAGCACGGCCGAAAGTGACACCACACCACCGCCTCAACGCTGTCGAGCTGGCCGGAGCAGAGGCCGTGCGTCTCAACCCACAGTCACTGAGACACCAACGGAGGAGACACCGCGAGATTCACAGCAGGGTGGTTCCGATTCGGCTGCAGCCAGAAATTCTGCCATTGCTCTGGAAGGCATGCACCTGACAGCTGGCCAATCTGACCATGGGAAGCCCAAAACACCATCAAGCTCAACTGCAACCGGTCGTGGAGCGACCCAGTCGACGCAGAAATCTCTGGACGGCCCCAGCTCCAGCCAGGAGCCATCGCAAACCGCTGACGACGAACTACAATGCTACTGTGGCAAGCGCTTCAAAAAGCTCTCTCAGCTGACCGCGCATCAACGTGTGCACACTGGCGAGAAACCGTACATGTGTCCATACTGCGGCAGTGTGTTCCGACTCTCCAAGTACCTGACCAGCCACCTGCGTACTCACACCAACGAGCGGCCGTACACCTGCGAGCAATGCGGCCGTGCCTTCAAGGAGCCGCAGGCACTGCACGTCCACCAGCGCATCCACACGGGCGAGCGCCCCTTTCGTTGCGTTGTCTGTGAGCGCACCTTCACCCAGAGCGGCCACTTGCAGGCGCACCAGCGCACGCAACACGTGGTGAGCTCGGCGAGCTCCCGCGTACCCGGCACGTACACGTGCTCCACGTGTGGTGCATGGTTCAAGCGCGCTTCCGCGCTGCACAACCACGAGCGAACGACGCACGGTAACCGGAACTTCCAGTGCGACGGCTGCGGCAAACGGTTCGCGCTGGCGTCGCAGCTTGATACGCACACGCGCATCGTGCACGAGGCCCAGCGGCCCTTCATGTGCGAACAGTGCGGCCGCACCTTCTCCCAGAACGGTCACCTCAAGTCGCACCTGCTCACGCACACGGGCGAGCGGCCGCACAAGTGCCAGCAGTGCGGGCGCGAGTTTGCGCGACGTGATGCGCTCAAGGTGCACGAGCGCAAGCACACGGGTTCACGTCCGTTCCGGTGTCTGCACTGTGGCCGGTCGTACGCGCACCGCTCCGGCCTGCGCGGCCATGCCAGCACGTGCCCGAAGATGGCGGGACGCGCCGCTATCGCCAAGAAAAGTAGGTAGTGGATCAAGATGATGGTGGGCTGTGCCAGAATATGCTAGTTAGAGTGATGGCAAAACGTACCAGGACGACCAAGTGGTTTATTTCTTTTGAAATGTTAAAATACATCTTAAATAAGCGAAAATTTGATATATTTTTACGCGGGTACTTACAGTTTTTATACCGATTTTCAGGCCTCAGCATTCCTGTAAAAACATGCAAAACTGCTGATGTTCCAAACAGCCTCTACCCAAAAATGGACTCGCTGCCCATGGACGTTGGATAGGTATGACATTATCCATATGCATCCATGTGCAAATTGTTCATGGTGAGGGTAAATATTTTTGCCTGGCACAGAAGCTACGTCTAAGCTACCACCGAACAAACTCAGCTTATGCGTGGCGGGCCTCACTCCTCAGTGCTCGTAACGGGATCCTCTGAGCAGTGAGCAGGTAACTGAATGACGCTCTGATCAGGGTCTCTGAACGCATCACTGTGTTAGTGCCCGCTGTCCAGCTTATCAACCCTGTCTTACCACATTTTCACTCACTTAATCAAATGCAGTGCTTCCTCATGACTCCTCATTTATTGTCTCTTAGTCGTCCTTTTAGAAGTTTAGGATTCGAGACCACAGGGCTTTCAGTCTCCTCCAGTGACGTACATTTTCTGTGAGACTCTTTCGACCTCTCACATCCAGTCCTCGTAGCGGGTTCCGAACGCGGAGATATTTCGCCACTGCGGCTGGTCGAGATTGTTCACCTGGCGCACGTGTACGTAGCGGCCGGCCAGTGGCACGTGGCACGTGAACCGGCGCGAGAAGCCGGCCGCCACGAAGGTGCCCAGCTGGCGGTGACAGAGCGGCGCGTCGGCCCAGTCGTCGGGCCGAGAGCCGACGCGCAGCTCTGTCCACAGCACGTCTCCCGTCTGCGCGCCGGCCACGTAGAGCAGGCGCGTGACCAGCCGCCGGGCGCCCAGGTCGTAGCTCCACCAGGCCGTCTGCTCGCCGCTGGAGCCGGCCGGGTGCTGCAGCGGCGCCGGCGCCCCCGCCAGCAGGTCGTCGCCAACAAACTCACACAGCTGGGGCATGGCGAGCTCGCAGCCGACGTCGTGGAGTGTCCAGCCGCCAAAGCCGGACGCCACGCAATCCTCATTTTCGTTATTTGGCTGAGTGGGGTACCAAAATGCTGATGAGGTGTTGAACTCGTCGCCATCCACAGTGACGAAACGACCCTCTTCCGCATGCATGCTGATGCCAACCCCAAAGCTGGTGACTTCCTGAGCTTCAAACGTCTCAAAAACGACCTGCAGCTCGTCGGTCTGTCTGGGAACGTATGGTATGCCACGACCCTGGAGACATGCAGTGGCGGCATCCGTGCCCGGAACTGCAGTCTCGGTGAGCCTCAGCCAGGATCCGGCCAGGTTGGTGTAGTCGGCCGGCGGGCTACCGTCGTCGCGGTCAAACTGCCACACGTAGCTGGTGACGGCGGGGAGCGGCTCGGCACTGGGCTGCTGCTCGGCGGCCGGCCACTGGACGCACTGGCCGGCGCTGAACTCCACCGCCCAGCAGTCGACGGCGCGGCTGCACGCCCGCTGACACTCGGCCAGCGTGGGCTGCTGCTGCCGGCGCAGCGGCTGGCCGACCAGCAGCGTGCTGGTCAGCGGCACCCAGCGGCCGCCGTCGCGCTGGCAGACCAGCGGTCCGTCCGGCCGCCAGCCGGGCCCGCACTGGCAGCTGCCCGACAGAGCGGCCTCCTGGTGGCTGCAGTGCGCGCCGCCGGCCACCAGCAGACGGCACTCGGCGTCTGAGGCGCACGGCTGGCCCAGCCAGCTGACGCCGCGCCGCCGGCCGCCGCTCCAGCCGTCCACACTCAGCCGGCTCTCACCGGCCCACAGCAGCCCGTCGGTGAGGGCGCAGCTGCCGGCCGCCCAGTCGAACTCGAAGCCCAGACACCGCAGCTCGGCCAGACATCGGTGCTGGCACTGACAGGTCGAGTCGGCCGGAAACGTGGCGAAACGCGCCGCCTCCGGGAGCAGCTGCCGACCGGTGGCGATGCCGGCAAACTGGTAGAACGAGGGCGGCAACGTCATCTCCCTGCTCTTCAGCATGTCCAGCGCCTCCGTCGGTAGGTGAGATAATGTATTTTCGCCTCTGGCAACATCCTTTTCATAGGTATTGTTCACAGTTATTGTATTTTCATAGGTAGTATTAGTTGTCAGACCTTCTGCTAGAAGCAGCGTCGGGTCGGTCACTATCAACATCAGAAGCAGCATCATCATGATCGTCGACGGCAGGTTCACGGCCTCCGGGAGGTGATGGTGCCGTCCTATACGTCTGACCATGGCGGGGGTTGGAGACCAACTGCGGAGGGAGGTGCGTCCATCGACCGAGCCACCGACCGTCTAAAAGGCGTTGGTATGACGCTGGACTGTATCTTACTGTATATTGCAGACAGACATGAGACATTTGACAATTTGATCGCAATACAACCGGAGCCCAGAAGGCATAACTTATTAATGTAAGGTAAAAGGTTGATGGTAGTGCCGGAAGTTGTTAAAGCATTAGGTAGCTACAAGCTTTGAGGATCGGACTTTCTAAATAATGATTGGTACAGAAAAGACGTTCTTCAGTGCTCGAAAATAATTAATGAGTAGGCATCAACAGATTTGCTGAAGCGACTAGCGAGGGAAAGTTCATGGTATTTTTATGGTAAAATGGACGACGAACACGACGCGTGAATATCTGGGAGCCAGCGACGAGTGCCTAAATTATAGACAGTGGGAATACAACTACTAACTACAACTTCTACTACAACTACTTTTAGCAATACTTAGTACCTATATAATTACTTACGGTTCACAAAGACAATCGCGAGCAAATTCATGCCAATCGCCAGTTGTTTATGTCATGTAGAGATTGCAATGACTGACTTGGCAATGACTTGGCCAATGTTGTAGAAAATTGACATATAGATATATACCTACCGTAAGACGTGAGATGCTACAACTCTCAGGACACTTAATGATGTATAGGTAGGTACTCAGCAGCTATGATCACATAACAGTTGGGGGTTAAAATCACGGTGATGATTAAAATTGCAAGACAAAAGCCAATGTTTTCATAAAGCAGGAGAGGTTCAAACAGCAACTGGAGCTTTATTGCCGAGAACGGCTGCGGCGCCGGGCGGAACCAAGTCACCGGGAAAACCAGCATAAATACTACATTACATACTTCGGCTGGCAGACATCGAGCTACGCAGTCACGGCAGTACAGTTAAGGCAGTAGTGCTGAAGCTATGTATCAGCACAAGATATGTGATTTTACATAGCTAAGACTGTTCGTGGTGGGAACGACTCGGTCGGTCGCCACTCGCCATTCACATGGGAGCGTTACCATCGTTCAATAGTTTTCCCTGACAACGACGTTCATGACACTGAGCCCTTAAATGCATCGAATGCATCGCTGCGATCGAATATTGATACATGTTATTGTTTAAGCTCATCAGTCACGTGTCTATGCACATGGACATGTACAATCGGCGGCAAATAATTAAGGAATGGCTGATGCTTAGCTAAGAACACTTTTCTTATCAAAGGTTAATCAAAAACTATCAAAAAAGTGCCCTAAGTAGAATACAGTTACACTATATTTGGCGCTCATGACACTTTGTGTCCTCATGGTTCTAACCAGTGTCTGACCATATTTACAGTGACTGCTGTTTTGTTAGCCCCCAGTCATTCCAGTCCCTGCATAAAATTAGCTACTTTACCCATCACAGTGTTTCTTTTCTTCAGTCAAAGTAACTTCACAACCTGATAACCCGTGTTATAGCTGCGCCTGGGTTCCTAGTGTTCCTACCACCTTCTTAACTTCACAATAGCACCCTCAGCTATCCTCACAATGGCACCCTCCTAACCTCACAATAGCACCTTCCTAACCTCACAATCCTCTCCACATCACCGCCGCGGCGGCCAGCACCACCACCGCCACCTGAGACCCCACACCTCCTCTCGCAGCTGCGTTTTCTCGGGCGTTCCTCCTTCCCTCCTCACTCAGTTTTTCCTTATATTCGTACGTCTTGGGCCAGACCTCTGTCTCGATGTGGTCGTCCAGACAGCACTCTGCCAGGGTACAGCCGAGCCAGCGTGGCGCTACCAGGTGAGGAGCGTAGTTCTGTACCCGACCCTGGCCGAGGTCACACCGCCAGTAGTGCTTGCCCTGAAGGAAGTACGTGTGACCTGCGACACACGGGACGGGTCGGGTCAGGGCGGGGCGGGGGGTAGCAAAGGTCCGAGTTGGTGGGTAGGGTCGGCGAGGGAAGATTTAAAGCGGCAGCAGGCAGATGAGCCAGATCGGAAACATTGAAGACTGAAATTCAAACACAGTTAGATTCATACAGGACATCATTAAACATAATATTTTTCATATGTTTCCATAGGTATACGAGTGAACGATCTGACTCTGAGGTCAAACTACAACAAGATGTTTGAAGAGAAGTTTGGCACCAATCGTAATTAAGCACCATCGGATCTTCACTATAGAAGGACCTTGCATACCCACACACATCGCCATATCCAGCCGAATGTAATAGGACTATCTTTTCCGATCGTGCGTTCACATTGCACTAGCCGTGTGTTTTCACCTATTTATTTTAACCGTGCGTTTTACCTTTAGTGTCGGAGAATGCGGCGTCGACTCGCTTGGGCAGGCCGCGGCACATGCGGTTGAGTGGCTGTGGGGAGTCAGAGTCCACCCGCTCCGTGCGCTCGTTGAACCTGGAGGTACCGCAGAGGCAGGGCGGGATCAGAGCAGCCTCTGCGCAGAGTTGGTTGGTGTCGGTGATGTACTTTTAAACGGAATAGGTATGTGATGTCAATGCTCAGAAGTGTGTTTGGGCGGTGTTGGTGTCAGCAAAATGCATCGGGTTTATTTCATTTGAAATGAATTACAAGAACTAACTGGCGCAATGACATGGGGAATCGCTAAAACTACTCCAATTGTTAGTAGATTGTATTTATGAAGCTTCGCCACTGAGTGCATAATCTGGTTCGGAGAGAAGGGAGAAGGTAGGACTATTCGCGTTCCCGCTTGGCTCTCACCAGCTCGTCTCTCACAAGCTCGGCACTCACCTCCAGTACTTATCGCCGGTGATCAGATAGGTGACCTCGGTGTGCCTATTCACAAAGGCGGCGTCCACAGAGCTCAGCTCCTCAGGAAGACCGAGATCGGAGAGCGGCCGTGGGTAGCCCGGCTTGGTGCGGCGCTCCCAGAACACCCAGAAATGACGACCTGAGGTCAGCAGCGGCGTCAGGTCACAGTCAGAGTGAGGTCAGGACTGAGTGGTGTATGACCTGGTGCAATTTTGCTTCTTATTGACTAAACACGAGCATATGTCATGTCAGCTATAGGGAAATCCCTTATCCGAGCTAGAACACTGGATGATGACATTAACTTGCAAAACCCGCAAAAAAGTAAAAATTCGCTCGCAAAACGGCCCATTCGGATCTAAGTTACGTCTTAAAACGCCTTGAAATAGTCAAACCTTTAGGCGTGGAGTGCATTTATCTCACCGCAGAAGAAGACGACCGACCCGTCCGGTCGCTCGTAGGCGGCGCTGACGTCACTGTGGTGCGGCAGACCTTCCCAGAAGGTGTCCACTTCCACCGGGTCACGGGTCATCAGGTGACCCGCGCGACTCACACGCCAAAAGTGCTGCAAAAGTGCGGGGAGACGGCGCTTCAGACCGCGTCTTAGTAAGGGGGAGTGGCAGACGAGAGATTTTCCTTTGGAGCCAGGAACGGAGCGGTAAGGGACCGGGTCACTTTTGTGACTGTCCAGGCGAATAGTGTAACGCATTGTGATATTGGCGTGCAATTATATAAATAAGAGGCGAGTCGACTCACTCTGACTTCCTCATTCCGGAGGCATGAACATAGGCATGACTTACGTCATCATTGAAGAAGAACAGCTCGCCCCGGATACGTGCCACGGCATCGAACGTGCTGCGACACGTCTGTGGCGGAGATCGTGCTGTCGACAGACAGGTGATAAATGTCACACTGTCTGCGACACGTCTGAGGTGGAGGTAACGCAGACAGACAGACAGACACTAAACAGACAATACAGAATCACATTGTCTACGACAGGTCTGCGACGGACCGTGCTTCAAAAGACAGGTGATAGGAAGGTAAATGTCGCACTTTCTACGACGGGTCTGAGACTGGGACCGTGGTGGCGGCAGACAGACAGCCAGACACTGCAGAGAATGCAGTGATTGTCTGCGACAGGTGTGGAGGCTGGGACCGTGCTGTCGGTGCAGACAGACATACAATACACCGTCACATTGTCTGCGACAGGTCTGTGGCAGAGACGGCGCTGTCGGTGCAGACAGACAGACAATACGGCGTCGTAACGAGGGCGTTAGCAGTTAGCACCAGTCACCAGGTAAGGACAGACGGAAAGGACCGTACCTATATGCTCAAATATATAGGGCACATGCAAATGAGAGAATAACCACGTAGACATGGGTAGGTACCAACTACCTATCCGCACTGGGGTAGAGCACACCAATTTTGCAACGATGGTGGGTAGGTAATTGCGAATAATGAACCAATTACGTTATAACTAAGATGTCTAAAGGCTGGAATGGGCTGGATCATAGGCGGCGGAACAGACAGGGCACCGGGGCACCGTGCCCCCCTTTGATTTTGACATTTTAACATTAGCTCTATGGGCGTTGCATGGAAAGAATGGGACCAAAGGTTGGCAGTGCCCCCCCCCCCCCCCCCCTTAATTGAAGGTGTTCCGCCGCTACTGGGCTGGATCATAGGCGTCCGGCGTCGCATACCGCGGTACCTATAAGGTGGCCTGTAATCGAATGTATAGGTACAATTGAGTCAGTGGTTCCATAAACCTAGTGCACGTTCCAGCGACTATTGTCATTGGCATGGCCGCATGGGGACCATGACATTCAGAGAATCCGCCTCCGGTCTTATCGTCCATGCGTCATCTGTGTTTGAGGCCGATATCTTATCAGTGCGGATGGAGGTGCAGGTTTCGGCGCTGCCCCGGACGGCCTTTACCCTTACCTTGGTATTTAATTTTATCAAGGAGTGTACTGTGTAGATCATCCACTTCAACCGATGTTTGTCAGATATAATTTTAAATAGCACGGTCGCTTTCATAGAGGAATGATGCAAGTGCTGATCGATTAGGTGTAACAGTTTGTATGTTTTAGCTGCATGTTTTGGGGGCACCGTAGCCGTATCGGACAAGCCGACTAGGCATAACAGGAAACAAGGAACAATTCGACATGAGGAGCGAACAAGGCGATACCAAGGAACAATTCGACATCAGGAGTCAATGAGGCGATGAATTCGCCGACCTCCAGCTCTCTGCACAGTGATGGTGCTAACCCACACAGACAGAATGCATCGCAGCGGACGGCGCCATATTGAATCGTGCCCCAGTCAAGCATCAAAGGCCTATTTACGCAGTTACCCATCGGCGTTAAAATGCTGATAATTTTGTAACGCATGGACGATTCGCTGGCCTAAGTTATCTTCTGTGTGCCTACCTTACAGTGTCAGCTGTAAAATATGCTGAAACACTACATTGTATTACACCCAAATAAGTCGGTACGCTCGGACCATTTACCGTCATGCCTATGAGTGATTATATTTATCAATCACCTGACTGATGGCCAGAACACGCAGTACGTACCCGGGGAGCCTCCAGTCACCAGCAACACCAGCACCAGCACCAGCGTCACCACCGGCATCAGCCGAGCCATGACTGTCACCAGAGATCACCAGTCTTCGTAGAGCCTCCTTACAGCCAGCAGGTAGCGTCGATTGACGGGGACCCGGGCAAGTTCTATCAGCTCCCGTAAGGCTGCAGGTAGAGTTTCCAGCCTCTTCCCCGGCAGGCAGACTCAATAACTCCACGGATTCTAACTCACACACTCTCACACTCCTCACATCCACGCTCGGGATTCTCACCAATACCTCACACCGCTGCGGACACTGTCCGACGTTGCTGTCACGTTCACGTCCGACGCAGCTCGCCGGTGTAGCTCACACTCGAACCGTCTCGGCCTGACGACTGATACGTCCGCTCCCAACTGAGTCAGCGTTCGGATCGCTTGGGGCCGACCGCCGTGAGCTGAAAGCGACGCCGTGAGCTGAAAGCGACACCTCCTACCGCGTGGCACCTAGGGTACATCTGCGCCTGCGGGCAAGCGCGCGCAGCTAGAATCGGAACAACAGATGGCGCTGATGCCAGCAGGTCCGGTCACCAAGCGGCCGGCGTTGCTCCAAGTGTTGGGGAGGGGGATAGCCATGCTCAATGGCAGTTCAGATTGCAAGGTCACGTTCCGGGCTGTGCTGCGGCCAGCGGATTTGTTGAATAGCGTTGATAAGTAATGTCTCACCGTTGGATAGGATAATTATCCCACGGAGGCGAGGGTGCACCCTTTAGCACACTCGTCACCGTAAATACGCATATGTAGGCAGCACACTGAAGATCAACATCGGGCTATTGACCACAAAGCACAACTGCTACTATACCGACGAAATGTTTTAGATGCCTGAACAAAGCACGAAGTCAGTCATGAGCATATGACTGACTAATAAAGCATGAAGCGCACATTTCGAAAAGCGTTCCAATCCATGTGACTTCGCTTCAGTCAGTTGCTCGGATGCACTAGGGGATGTCCCACTCCCAGCTCATCACAAATCCTAATTCAAATAAACAAGCAGGGTCACCTATCACAACCAGGTTTCCCCTTTGTCATTGCACCAATCACGGGGATCGTCTGCCGTGGAGACATTAACCCTGAAGCACGTGCGGCAGGCCCCCGGCAGCCCGAACTGTAAGATATGCAGGCGTGCCCACCGGCTCACGATCCTGCAAACGGCGTCTGCCGCGTGCATCACGCCGACCACATGGGAGGTACTCACAAATGGAGTCTATCACTGACTGTGGAATGAAGTCATGTTACCTGCAGACGCATTTTTATGAGTATCATTAAGCATCACCATCACTATCCAAGCCATGCATAACATCGCACATAGCGCAAACGTAATATTTACTCGAAGCTCAGTCAGAGACTAACAGTGCTTAAAAAGCGTCATCTTTTCATCGGGCCAGCCAGACAATAACAAAACCCGTCCTTTTACGTGCATCCTATTAAGAGACCGCTGTTTCAACCAAGCTTTTTCTCGCACTCTGGCCATTCAAACGACAGCCGTTCACATTCAAATAACGTAAAGTCTTCAGAGCAAGCTGTGTTGGGAGTGTAGTTAGCTGAGGAGAACTTACAGTTGAGGTATATCTACTTGCATTACCCATTGCAAAGTAGCAGTTACACTTAAAATGCAGCAACAGCATACTAGGGGCGACTAGTGACTTTTCGATCCAAGAAATGACCAATGATTTTCCGCCCAATACTTATGTCCAATCCTAATCAATGCTCATCTTCTTTCAAGCAAGGCATGTTGTGATTGCGGCCAGAAAAACATCCAACTAGCCACATTCGTCTACAGACTCTCATATTCGTCTGACGCCCCCCCCCCCTCCCTCCCCACCATCAAACCAAGCCCCACCAAACGCCTGTCGGACCCAAACAATACCGACAAATATATTGTCCGAATTTCAGCACGAGACATAGGACACTGCGACACTGCGACATTGCTGAAACAGTCGACAAGCCGAGATTGTAAGTTCACCGTCCGTTCGTCTGCTGTTACCTGTCTTCCAGGTCTTACTTCATGTTTGGAGTGATCGGAGCAGTGTTCGTCATGAGCTTCACAAAACAGCTTACGAATGCAACGAACTGAGCGTCCATACACCTATTCAGAGTCTGAGCGGCGCTCTATGAAATTCTCAGTCTGTGCGGACAGAGTTCCTCATCGGAAACACCACTGCTGATTCACTGATACTCCTCCTGTCCTCGGTCGACCGTCCTATCAATCCTCCCGCACGAGCCACACGCTGGAACCAGCGACACCGCTCCAACAATGACGAGGCAGCCATTCATAAACACAGCTGCGACATTGCCTGTGGCTGCGGCGGGCAGGAGTTCAACAGGTCCAGGCGCTCGGCGCCGGCTCAGTCGGCCGAGGGCAGCAGGTGCTTGTGCACCATCTCCTCCTTGTTGATGAGGTGGGTCGTCTTGGTCACCAGCATCATCAGGGAAGATATGCCCGACGACCACTCTGTCAGGATGTCCGTCGGGTCCTTGGTCTGCGGCAAAGGGTGATGGTGGGTTAGAGCTCAGCTAAAGTGATAATATATTAGTGGTTTGACTATCGACAAGCATACGCTACGGCTCATCGTTTGTGTGTGATTGTGATTATTACTTACTATGGACGTCAAACCCCTTGAGACCCCACTTTTTTGCGATAATTTTTAAATGCGTCAACTCTCGTTGACAATATTCTGGCAATGTGTGTTTCAGAACCTGCCGAAACTTTTATTACTAAGGTATTATGACGCCAAGCGATTATGGAAGGTACTTCTCATTCACTCGTAATGCTAAGGTCAATTCAGGCCCGGGCAGAGGCCTGCGCTCGGCCACAATCGAGCCCCGCCACCAGCGCCATCTGCTCTAAATGTCATCTACCAGCGCCCGCTACCGCTACCAGCTACCGCCCACCATCAAGCCTGAATGGAGCGAGAGACGCGAGTGACCGGTCGCCGGGCAAGGAGCGCCGGAGGGGTAGGGCGGAGCTTAGCGCTGACGTCATTACGTGGCTCCGCCCCATGAGCGCGTAGCCTCTACCCAAACAGCAGATTCGTTCCGTGAAATTTAACATTACGAGAGAATGAGAAGTACCTTTCATAATCGTTTGGCGTCAAAATACCTTAGTAGTAAAAGTTTCGGCAGGTTCTGAAACACACATTGCCAGAATATTGTCAACGAGAGTTGACGCATTTAAAAATTATCGCAAAAAAGTGGGGTCTCAAGAGGTTTGACGTCCATAGTAGGCAATCATGCATGCGAGTGTGGAAGCGGCAGGGGGCATTGGAGCACATATACACTATATGTGCAGGGCGTGGTACACAGAGCGTCACAGAGTGTGCTTATCATTTCTCGTTAGCTTAGCGACTAGGATGTCGAAATACTCTAATCGTTATGCAATACAGTACGGTGGATCTCAAGATGCTCAACACTAATAATATTCCTAACCCCATGCAATGTAAGATATTCATGAATTATGTGTCTCCATACCTCTTTAGTGGATGTACTGCAATATTGCGATACATTCCATTCTGCGTAATAAACACTTTCACGCAAGCAATTTGTTCGGTGATCTGTTGTAAGTGAAAGATCCGTTACAGTAAGTCAGCTGTTTCACAGGTTTCGAAAGTTGATATAGTTGTTATATCGCGTCATTCAACTGGATGGGAAATCTAAAATCACAGCGTTCATTTAATTCACCAAGCTAAAAAGGAAAATGTATTATGGAAAGGGCGTTTCCCATTTCAACGCCCCTCCATCTGGCATTACTGCCGGCCTAGCGCTGACGTCCTAGTCATGCATAAACGTCCTAGTGACGTCCTACCGACAGAGGACTGGGGGGGGAGGAGGGGGCGACACTCCACGATAGCGCCAGCCGCCGACGAACCTGACGGAGCACAGCCCGGCCCGGGGGTCCGGACACGATAGTGGGCCGATAAAGGACGAGGTTAGTCATGGTCACGGTAGGCGTGTGGTTCGGGGAACGGAGAGGGGGAGGGCGGAGGGGTGTGCAATTTGTACACATTACGCATATTGCATGTCGATGTATAAGGGAAAAACTGCGCACTCTAGTTTGTTTGTCTACGTCACTGTGCCAGATGCGCCATCAGATTGATTAATGTTCAGGTGACCCAGCACCGCAGGGCGAGTCTCAGTATCAGTATGTCAGTATCTCAGTATCAGCTCTCTCTCTCTAGGGCGAGTCGACTCAGTCACAAGCTGAATCAATGCCACGTCTCCCAGCCGCTGCGGGTAAGGTGTGAAGCCGGGTTCGTAGAACGTCAAAGTTTACATCAACAACATGTCGGTCAGGATGGTCGTCGGTCTGTCGGTCCGGGGGCCGTATTCACGTCCATCATTTTCGTAGTAATTTTCTTACGGATGATCTAAGGCACAGCTTAAGCAATTTTAGCAATTTAAGCACAGTTACTTCTTAAGCATTTTTTTTTCATCACGTGAACTCCGTCGATAAAAATTTACGAAGTGTCGACGTGAATGCCAAATAATACTTACGAAAGAAAATCGACTTACGAAGTCGACGTGAATACGGCCCCGGGTCGTCAAGCGCCGCTGCCGCTGGACAGGACGGCGAACGGGTAGACGGTATTGAAAATTATGCCGGACTGGTCGGCGGCTCCCAGCCAGAAAACCCCCAGCAGTCAGCACTGACCGCGAGTCGGCACCCTGAGACGCTCCGACTCCGATTCTAGCCCTGGCTCTGGCTCTGGCTCCGGGTCCGACTCTGGCTTGGCGCTAGTGGCGCTCGTCTGTCGGTCGGGCGGGGAAGAACCGCGACCCTCCCAGTTACGACCCGACCGACTCATTAACTCACCTTGATGAACGACACGATGCCCTCGAGTCGGTCGGTCTTGGCCTGAATGGCGCCGCCGACCACCATTTGCGAGAGGAACTCCTCGGTCTCAGCCTCAGTGAGTTCCAGCAGCTGCGCCATCCGCGAGAGCCGCACACGACGGTAGTACCGCGACATTACGTCAATGTTCTGCAACACATGAGTGGGGGCAGTCAGCAATATGCAGCATCAGAAGTGGAGCCGTCAATGTCCTGCAAAAGCATATGTGGGGTGGCCTATAAACAACACGCAACATGTAAAGTGTGCAACAGATAGCAAATATTATGCAACATCCAAGAGATTAGGGGAGTAGAATACCTCCCCTTCTCCCTCCCTCCCTCTCTCTCTCTTCCTCTCCCTCTCTCCCTCTCGCTCTCTCTCTCCCCTCCCAATCTCTCTCTCCTCCTCATCCTCTCTCCTTCCCCTCCCGCGAACTCACGTGTTCGACGCATCGTTTCTTGAGCTGCTGCCAGCGTTTGTTTCCGGCCTCCGTGTCAGAGAAGACATCAGTCGCCGGTGACTCGGCCGAGCCCTTCCTTAGAGGAGCCTCGTACATCTGCACTAGCGCCGCCCAGCGGATCAGTTCAGCGTTAACAAACAGCTCCACAAACGACCTGAAACGGGGAGGAAGTCAACACTAGCGCCGCCCAGTGGAGGAGCTCGACATTACCAAGCAGCTCTGCTAGGCACTGAGAACAGGAATGAACTTAACAGTAGCGCCGCCCAGCGGAGGAGCTGCGAGTTATTGAGGGCAGTCCAATAAACATGCACCTATTTTTTTTTTTATTATTTAGTCCGAACCTTATGATGGGAAGGATTCACTCACAAGGACAGAGCCACCGCTAAGCGAAGCTTGTTGCGGTGACCCTGCCCTCTACCCTCCGATCGCGCAATCCCAGTTCTATGGCATAATTTAGAGTCCAAAGTTTAACGTGCGCACATAGCCGCGCACGGCCTTTGTCCACGGCCTACCTAATTAATAGAAGTGTGGCTTGTTTACGAGTAAAACACAATCATTAGTTAAACAATGGAGTAAATTATTGAACACTAGGCACAAACAGCAAGGTCTGTATTGCCGATAGATCGTCAACATGTGTCATTTCGCAGTTCAAGTCCTTTTCACCTCTAACGAAAAGTCCTCATCTCATACTTTCCTATCTTGCGGCCCTGCCTCCCCCATCTCCCACCCTACCCCTCAACACTGTCATTCCACACATCCCGCTCCTGCCAGACTCACTTGTAGGTGGGTATCAGCTCTAGCGTCTTGTCCTGCAGCAGGCGGTGGGTGAGGTCCGACTGCTCGTTGTCGTAGGAAGCCAGCACCAGGTACAGCACCGCGTGCCGCAGTGCCGTCGTCTTTTTGGTCTCGTCCTCTGAAGGGAGAGGGTAGGGGACCGTCAGAGACCGGGAAAGAGTGGTTAGAGAGACGCGTGACTGAGACGGAATCCAGATGGCGTCATCAGATAATCAGACGTAGCAATGTGAGACAAAGAAGATTGTAATAAACATACGGCAAATACCTAATCGATCCGAATCACAGTAACCAACGCTAGTTTCATATTTGGAGAAATTAATATTAAAATTATTAAATCGTGTTTAAGTCAGCCTCACTTCAGCCAATCAGACCTAAAACGCAGCAGACCCAAGTTTCTAAATCCAGTAACTGCTTCGGGTTGAATTGTATGATATGAACGCAGCGTCCTCTAGGTATCGTCCTACTGGGAGGCCGGCCTGAGTGGACCAGCCGTGGACCCTCCTGTGCGAGCGCTGAGAAAGCGAGTGCTCAGTGCTTACCCTGTACTGACGGGGTGTTGTAAATTGCCAGGTAGTGCTTGCAGATGGACAGGTTGGAGCCGATGTTCTGGTCCAGCTCGATCATCAAACTGAGGAAGAGGACGCTCAGGTCAAATCATGCCGTAAGTGGGTAGACTTCAGTGTCACTCTTTTACAATCATCAGGATCCCAATATTCCCCTCGCTCATCACTGATCGTTCAGCAATCGCCTACACTACATAACTTTCTTGCGGACTTTACGGTCACCGGTTTGCGAGTCAAGAGTACTGCAGCGAAGCGGCTCAAACGGGGATGAACCCTCCCAAGGCGATTACTAGGCAGCACTCACTTGTAATATTTCATTTTCAGTTCGTGTGTGTCAGCCGCCTCGAAGAACTTGACGTTGATCTTCTTGGCGATAATTTGTGTGCGGATGTAATCCTTCTTCAGCAGACACAGACGCATCTGCTCTAGAATGAGGGTGACCTGAGGCGAACACGGGTCCGGTTAGACAGGAATGCGCTATGCTTTAATAATTATATATTGATTTCCGTCCAACAACCAAAATCCTTTACTTTACCAAAATACATCGATTCCCCGTCCAAGATCCAGTAATTTCTCTAGACCAGGGCTGCGGAGTCGGAGTCGGAGTCGGAGTCGGTCGGAGTCGACAGTTGTAACCGGAGTCGGAGTCGGAGTCGGAGTCGATTTTAGGAACCCGAGCCGGATTCGGAGTCGGAGTCACCGAAAATCTGTCGACTCCGCAGCCCTACTAGGTCTGCGGAGTCGGAGTCGGGAGTTGGAGTCGGTCGGAGTCGACAACTCTGCCCGGAGTCGGAGTCGGAGTCGGAGGTGGTTTTTGAAAGCCGGAGTCGGAGTCGGAGTCGCCGAAAATCCATCGACTCCGCAGCCCTGCTCTAGACTCTTCCAACATCAATTGATTCCCTGGCGTTTCAAAAACAAGCCCAAACGATCCCCGATCCAGCCCGTTAGTGAGTTGTAATTTTATGTCGCCCGGACTTTAGTTGTCTTCGGCGCCATCGCCTGCCTCACCTTTTCCGTCTTCTCCATGCTGCCGTACGTTTCGACTTGCATCTCCTGCAGGATGTCGGCCGCGCCCACGATGTCGCCGTCGGCTTCCTTCATCATCGCCAGCTTGTGCGTCAGACGCGCACGCTCGATCTCGACGTAAATCTGGTGACACGAAACAGCCAGTGTCAGATGGGAGGATACACAGCGGGTGCTCAGGGTTTCGATTCTGAGCATGATGGGCTAAATATCCAATGAATCTTCATAATCAGTTAACGCACTGCATCGCATTGATAGTTAGTCAACATTCAGTGGAACAGAGAGTATTTAGTGTGATAATTCGATGAAATTAAATAACAATTTAAAAATTACGTGAGTCAGTAACATGAATAAAGATAAGTGGGTCGCATTTTACAGAGAAAAAGATACCTACATCAGCCTGGTGCGATGCGTGCAATATGGATATCAACCTTTCAGACTCTAACACTGCTGGTCCATCAATCAGTCCTGTACACCGTACAGCCCTCTGCAAACTGCGTGGTAGGTATTCTTTTTTCGACAAAAACGAGAATAATGCGCATACTATGCTATCGGTCATTCGCAAATCGTAACAGGAAGACACGCGAGACTCCGCACCTTAGATTGGCATCATCACCGTATTCATTTTCCTTCTAGTTCGACAACAAAATCCAAAAGTTTATATTTGCCCCCAAAACAAACTTTTGCATTTTGTTGCCACACAAGGCGTATACTTTGTTTAGTGATACACCTAATCGAAGGAGTGGAGCATGGCGCATCTATTTGCAGTGAGTTCTGACCGACTGATAGCATAGCCTCTGAGTTATTACCGGTTTTGTCGAAAAAAGAATGCCTACCACGCAGTCTGCTGAGGGCTGTACATCACTCGGTGGGCTAATAATTTTCCATGCCATCCTCTGAGTCCCACCTTTCCCTCTGTGACTGTCCTCAGTGTGTCGATCAGCTTCAGCTTCTGCTCCTTGTCCGTCAGCTTGTCCACGTACGTACACGCCTCCTGCACGTTCAGAAAGACGGCATGTCACAAGAGTCGCTCCTCAATGATAAAAACAATCCAACAAACCAATTTAAAACTTCTTGGCAAGAAAGCCGCTACGTTTTCGTTTCAAAGTTTTTCGGCAGTAAGCAATGAACTAGATACCAAAAACATAATTGCGTATGAGACAAAATACAAATTAAGGTATCTAATTTATTTGACAGAAAGAACATTTACTAACACACTAGCACATCTTCCCTCTGTTGTCCACTGCTCCCCTCTCTCCCTCCTCTTTCCTCTCACCTGGACCATTTTGGCGACGCTTTGTTTGAGCTGACTCCGCCGCTTGGTGAGTGTGATGATGCTCTCGTTCAGCAGGTTCAGGTCCTTGGCGTCGAAACACACCTGAACGATAGCCACAAGGACGCGGCTGGTGGAGTGCATGTCGGCGCCCTGTGGAAAGAGTAGGAGAGGTCATGGTTGGGCAGAGTGGAGGAGCAAGCAGTTAGGGTCAGCAGGAACACAGCCATCAGATACTATCGGTAGTTGCAACATCATGACAAAACAAAAATTTAATCGCATGTCGCGTTGAACAATGGAAGGAAAGTAAAACTTCCCGTCAGCAGGTTCCGATCAGCAGGGTCTCCAGAATGCCGACGTACATCTGGATCGTCCTTCTCAAAAGGTGACACATCCCACGGTGCTATTCGCACCTCTTTCTCATGCAACATGTTCGCTATCTCCCTAAAGTAATTCAACCCCGCTCCACCCTCACCGTGCGCGTCTATTTCCCCAGCGAACTGCCCATCTTAAAATCCGCGTCTGTTTCTTCCCCCTCCCCGTCTCACCGTCCGCGTCTGTTTCTCCAATGCCAGCAGGCCGTTGATGGCATCCTGCACCCGTCCCTCGGCCGCCTCCTTCTTCAGCGCCGGGATCTTCTCGTCACAAGTGGCACTGTAGTCCACCTCCATTTTGACGAGATGGCCGCCGTCGGTGGCAGCGCTCAGCATGTTGTCCGTCATGTTGGCAACTCCTGAGGGCTACCGGGGGAGACAGGGTCAGTATTCAGTCTAATTCTGCCATAGCATAACCCTACTGCTATGGTCGGAGACAAAAACGTCCCATACCACATTAGTCATTAAATTGTGGCTAAATGAAGCTAATTAGTACCACAACATGCTATAATGCACGTACCATTGTACCTACCTAGCATTTCCTGTCAGTTAACTGCAACATCTTATCTTCAAACACTGGAAAAACTGAAGCTAAACCCCTCTCAGACAGTATAGCAATGGGTGCTCAAATGGCCTAAATGGGTGCTGGAGTTGTTATCAGCTCCTAAAAGGACTCAAATAAAGTATTATACGAAAAAGGTCAGGCTGTGGCCCCAGGCGCGGATCCAGGGGGGGGGGGGCGACGGGGGCGGCCGCCCCCCCCCCCCCCGCCATCCGAAAAAGGCGCCCATATCCCGCGGCAGAGAGGGCGCCCCGAGCATAAGAGCGGCGACACAGCAAAGGTTCAGCAGAAATAGGGCGCCTCCAGCAGAAGTTGGGCTCACCAAGCAGGAGAGTGACGCCCAATTGCCTATTCCCAGCAGATGAGAGTCGCCCCAGCAGCAGATGTGCGCCCCCAGCAGAAGAGGACGTCTCGTTGCAAGAATATAAAATACCTTCTGTTCAAGAGGGGCGCCCCTGGCAGCGGAAGGGCACCCTTAGCAGGAGACGTGTCCCCCTGAAGAGGAGCGACGCCCCAGCAAAAGGAGAGAGGCGCCCCCATTCCGAGAAGAGGGGCGCCCTGACAGCAGCTGGGCGCCCCAGCAAAAAAGGAGCCCCATAATAAGAAAATGGGTGCCACTGGCAGAAGAGGGGCGCCCCAGCAGAAGAGAGGGGGCTCCAGCAGGAGACGGGCGCCCCAAGCAGAAGAGGGGCGCCCCAGCAGAAGAGAGGCGCCACAGCAAAAGTTAATCAGAAATAGGGAGCCTCCAGCAGAGGTTGGGCCCGCCAAACAGGATATGGGCGCCCCATTGACAATATCCGGCAGAAGACAGACGCCCCAGCAGCAGATGGGCGCCCCCGGTAGAAGAGGGGCGTCCCATTACAAAAAGAAAAGGAGTATATTCTACCAAGAGGGGCGCCCATGAGACAGCGGAAGGGCAACCCCAGCAGGGGGCGGTGCCCCAGTAAAAGGAGAGGTGTGCCCCGTTCCGAGCAGCACAGGGTCGCCTCGCCCCAGAAAAAAAAAAAAACAGAAGCCCCATAAGAAGAAAAGGGGTGCCTCTGGCAGAAGAGAGACGTTCCCCGCAGTGGAAGGACGCCCCCACAAGAGTGGCGTCTCCAGCAAAAGAGAAGTGCCCCCTGCAAGAGAGGGGCACCCCACCAAAAGTTGGGCAGAAGTGGGTCGCCTTCAGCAGAATTTGGGGTCGCCCAACAGGAGAGGGCCGCCCTATTCACAGAAGAAAAAAGACTCCTCAGCAGCAAAGCAGCAAAGCAGCAGCCCTAACAGAAAAGGTGCACTCGTAGCAGAAGTGGGACGCATCAGGAAGAAGAGGGGCACTTTTAGCAGAAGATGGGCGTCCCAGATAAGTGGGCCGCCTACAGCAAATTGGTCGTTCTTAGAAGGAAGAAATGAGGCGACTAAAGCAAAGTGGGTCTCTCCATAATGGATTAGGCGATCCAAGCAGAGGTTGGGCGCCCCCCGGGAAGTGAGGCATACCAGCATAAGTGAGACGCTTCCAGAACAAGGAGGGGGCATCACCGGGAGAAGTAGGACTGCACCAGTAAATGGAGGTCACCTTTTTGCTAATATCTTTGGCTAGGGTAGCGGTGCCCATCTACGACTTTTAACCCATGCCGTGCTGGTGGTCTGAGTAACCTGCTGGGGAGGGGGGGGGGCACACTCCCTCGTCTAACTCGGCTCCTGGGCCGCGTAGTGACACGCGATAAGCGGTATTCGAAAGATCGTCAAAAAACAGGACGAAAACAAAACGGTCATTTTTTGGTCAGGTCGAATGTCAGGTCACCAGAGGTCATCAAAGGTAAAATGTTGCCTGTTTCAACAATTTTCCGTTTTCGAAGCAGCGGCACATAACTCGGAAATCAATAGAGCTATAGCGCCGCAGAAAAGCGCATTCGATAGCCCCTTTAAAAGTGTTTCTGCAAGCTGCGCTCAGATTTGACCTCAGGTCAGCGGTTTAGCCTTCAGAGGGCAAAAGACTCTAAAAATAGCCTTTTTAAGAACAATGTTTTCCTGCACTAACTTTTGACTCAAGAGAGTCTCGACATTACGTTTGCCAGCATTGCGTTTCTGTCGTCGAGACACGTCGACCAAACTAAAGGTTGACCTTATGAAAGGTAATTTTGAGAATTTGACCTCAGGTCGAGGTCATGATCTGACCGGGAAAGGTCATGCTGCATAGCAGTCGATGCGTATCGTCGAGCTGAACACAGCTGAGGTGTTTTTATCGCTCTAGCTTGAATCTATCAAAAGTTATTTTAAAAAACTGCTGCGGACCTTTCATGACATGGGATGACCTCTGGGACAAAATGAATGGTCACACTAGGTGCAATGTTCTTATTCAGTGTGTTAGTTTTATATGTATCCCAATGCTTGATATTGTCTAAAATGGCGCTCGTCCAAAAGAGATGCCTTTCAGTTTTCTCCCAAAGACTTAATTATACCTACCTACCTAATGGAGACGTCGCACAACTGACCTGATTTTAGGTCACAGATATGGAAATTCCGAGATATACATTTCATGAGTACCTAGTGTTGCTTTCATCAATCGCTGAAAGGTTCAAAGCAATCGTTCAGTCGGTATAGCAATGGTAAGCATTTGAACTTTTTCTTAGGCTAGGTCACTTGGCATAACCTGGTGACCTGACCTTCCATCACCCGCGTCAGACATTTTTACATCATGTGCAAAAAAGATGCATGCTAAGGTAAGCTGAAAATGGCGGCGCTGCGCGCAGCCGTCTTTCAGATATTTGCGAAAAACCTGAGGGGGAGCGCGATAACGCCCCCTAGCACCACGCGGGCTTTTAGCTCCCGATTTTGACGGTTTGGCGCCCCCTTTGTATGGAGCGCCCCCGGATTGCCAGGTCGCCCCTATTTCGACTTGCCGCCCCCCCCCTCCCGAAAATTCCTGGATCCGCCCCTGTGTGGCCCAGACTAGAAAAAATACACGTTATGCTGAATATGTCCGGCGTAGTGGAGGGATTGCGCCGAAAATTTCGGCGCACGTCCGGCGTAACTTCGCATGCGCCGAGATGGCGCAAGGCGGCAGATGAATTTTTCGGCGCAGGGTGGCCGATAATTTTTTGGCGAAAGACGATCACCGAATTTAGTCGGCACGCCGGTCAGTCTAGCAGCAGATTCGGCCTGCGGGCAGCTCTGGAGAGGTTTCGGGACAAGACGTCCCCGCCCCGGTCGTCACGTGCTCGCCGAGTCTATTCGGCGAGCCGCCCTAAGTCTACTCGGCGGAGAAGCGGCAACCCAGGCGAGGCCTCAACCCTCGGCATGGAGATAGGTATGGAAGACCTTGTTGAACATCGCCGAGCGTCGTTAAGTAATATTGCAATGGGTTCCTGCCCACTGCGGTATCGAGGGGAATGAGAGCGCCGACGACCTGGCGAAACAAGCGGCCGCCCTGCCTTGCCCGCTCGTTCGCTGACCAGGACGGTTCATTGTGCGGCCTCGCATCAATGGCGCGACAACTGGTCCGAGTCACTACCTATTCAAGCCACTCCTCGGGAGCACGCCGTCGCTCTCTATCCCCGGAGAGGACCGAGAGGACGCCGTTTCGGTGCACCAGACGAGGGCGGGCCACTGGGGCCGCTCACTCCAGTAACACCAAATCAAATCGGCTGTCTCCACTCCGCGACGTGCCAGCAGTGCCCAGACAAGCGGTGCCCCGCGGCGCTCTGCGCCATGTGCCGAGAAGAGGCTGATGTGCCGGAACACGTGCTGCTACGCTGCCCGGCCCTCGCTGGCTCCCGCCCGCCTCGAACACACCACTCCGACGATTTTGTGGTCCGGGAACTTCCGGCTCCGGCCTCGTTTCACGGCACGACCCTACAGTGCGCTAAGCATATCAAGGTATTGGGTTTCTGGGGAAATAAAGCTTTTTTGGATGCTCAAACATGGGAGAGCATCCAGGGCCCCGGAACACCTGGAACACACGGCGCTGATCAGCTGGAATGTCTTGTTGATATAGCCTTGATCAGTAGATCAGTGCTTTATATAAAATGGCTTAATTCTGGCAATAAAGCACCACATTTTTTGCGTAAATCATGCAGAAATCTCGTCGCTAAATCGTTTGTGCCAAATTTCGGCGCGAAAGGGTCTCACGGAGGTCTGGCATAGTATATGGATGTTTTCCAGTCTGGGCTGTGGCCATCAACAGAGTCCATCAGCCCCTAATAAGGTATGAAGGTTTGCCGACTGACTCATTTTCAATGGGTCTATTCTTGTAGCTACTCCGATTCCTGCTTATTTAGAAACTGATATTGGTACCATAACCCGTCAGCATTGGTAAAAATTTCCCACTTGTCATTTGTCAAGCGTGCACTTCAATCAATCGAATTCAAATTGGGCGCACATTGGACGTGCGGTCTGGCCAGAGAATAGAGCTCTTAGTTTGAGATCTAAAACAACGAACCATATTTTGAAATCAGCAGCTTAGAAAATATGAAATTATACCAAACTTTTCTATGAAATAAACTGTAGAAATTCGTTCCGTCACAACAACGACTGCCAACCACACAGTTATTTGTTTTGCATGCGGCTTTTAGCAGAGTCATGCGCCATGCATGTCGCACAGAAGCCGCTAGATGGTAGCAATATGGTAGCACAATTTTGAAGGAATAGTCAGCACTTTTTACGGCCGTAGTAAAGGAATCTTGCTTTTCACGTGCCTCCCTCAGAGGCCTTCAGCCTGTGCTTATTCATTTTTATTTTACGCCAGCCCTGTTACCTGTTGGATGCGAGAGCGGTTCATATTGCATCCGGCGAAGTCATCCCAATTTTGCATGCAGATATCATCGTGTCGTGTCGCTCCCTTGCACAACATTACCCTACCCTACCCATAGGCCATAACCCAACCCTACCCTAGTGTCATACCTGGCGACATCTGGTGATCGATTCCCACATCTGCCACTTTGTCCGACCAAGCGGCAGATGACGCGCTCAGCCTCTCGGTACGGATAAAGTCAAAGATGAGGCCACAACCGTCCAAGATTCTTACAGATACGCAACTCCTAGCAAAGGCGCGGGAACCGGGGGGGGGGGGGGCAGCCAGTGCGGGCAGGCGGCAACTCTGGGGCCGTGGGGGCGGTGCTCCCACAACTTTGAGACGGAATACCGCACTTTTTTGCAAATGTTTTCTTTTTATGTTGAAAAGGCCATGGGATGGAAAAAAGTGGACTTAACAAGCGCACCGACGGGGGGGGGGCGGATATCCGCCCCCGCCCCCCCCCTGAGGTTTTTCGCGAATAGCGCGAAATTTGGTACGACTATTCTCTCATCAATTTTACACAAGGTGTGCAAGTTTGAGCCTCCTTACTTTTAAGGTCAGGTCACCAGGTCACTTTGAATGACCCAGCCTCAAATCACTTTTTTTGCAACTTTGTCACCGTGCCAGAGCTACAGTAGATGTCGGAGTCCTTTGAAAGTCGCAGGATGTTATCAGGTCATTAGTAGCTACAATTTGTTTATCTCGGAATTTTGATATCGGTGACCTAAGGTCAGGTCAATTTCTCGACCTCCCCATTATAAGTCAATGGGGAAAAATCATACATGACTTCATATACGATCAACCTTCACTACCTTGATGTCTGTTTTGCTGTTGGGCAGCTGTAAGGTCATGTGACGTCATCAAAGGTCACCAAAGGTTTTTTGCCAATACCTCCGTACAGGAACAAGATACAGCCGCGCGGATGGTCTCATTGTGTTCAGCTCGTCAAGACGCATCAGGGGTGTAGGATCGCAAAATAGGTTGGGGGGGCTGAGCCACGGACGCCGGTGGGGGCGGCGACGAAAGGTGCTGACCGGGGGGGGGGAGGGAAAAACCAGCAGTGGAAAAGGTGTTGACCAATGACCGGGGGGAGCGTGGACCGTGGTGGTGAAAAGCGGGTCTATGACTTGAGTGATATGACTTAATCTCTCCCCCGGGATCCAAGTTCAAGCTTATAAAATAAGGCGTAGGTATATTCCAGCTCAACGTTTTACAACCACATGTCCACATTTATGCAGTGTATGCTCCCGCTCTTTTCAAATGCAAAGTGATGCCACTTAAACAGTATATGTATGCTCTTATACTTAACCCTCGCCCAGCTGGGGGGGTCAATTTGCCCCCCTCCCTGTGGTTTTTCCTGAATAGCAAGAAAACGGCGGCGCGCAGCGCCGCCAAATGTTTAGTACCTTACCGGGCATCAATTTGACACCTTCACACAAAATTTCAAGTCTTAGGTCACCTTAGGCCAGGAGTTATTGAGGTCAAACTGAGGTCATGTTCGAGCAAAAATAAGCAAAAAACATGAAATCTTGAAACGCTCACAAAAGCTACAGTTACTAAGCAATTTCAGAGTTCTTTATATGGTCATGTAGAGAAAAGACTGCGCTACAAAACTGCTATCTCGGATTTTAAAAATTGTGGGATTTAGACCCCCAAAATTCAAAAAGTTTATTTTTTTAGAAAACGCAAAAAAATCCCAAAAGTTTTTTGACTTTCGAACTAACCGGAATATATGTGATATTCCCTGCGCTCTTCTATCTACATACCAATTTAAGTTCGATACCTCTTTTTTGGCCAAATTATAGCGGAAAAACTGTTCAAAATTGATGACGTCGCATTTTTGAACTCAATTTTTAGCAATTCTAGACCACCTAGCGCAAAACAAAGACCACCATTAGACTCCCCGTGACGAGCTGCATCGAATCAATACCCATTTTATGCAAAAATATCAAGTTTGACATTGGACCTTATTTGACGTGATCTTGACCTGACCTTCACCAGAACATGACCTAAACTGGCCCCAAAGGCTGCCTGACCCACATAATCGCATTTGTCATGTAAAATGGACCATAAAAGATGCATCACAGGGTATTTTCATATTTTGATCCTCAGTGACCTGACCTCTGTGACCTGACCTGGTATCAGTGACATTAAATAGCAAAATATGTGTTTGACAAACAATACCCCATCGATGACTTGCAATGAAATGCACTTTACTCGATTTTACAACGCATTTCTTGAAATGCCTGCAAACGGTGAAAATTCGACATTTGACCTGACCTGTGACGTCATCGGTTTGACCTAGGTCAACGAAATTTGGTCACAAGGTAGTTCCCTGTTGGGGCTATCCAAAGCCGTTTACTGCTTGTCGCTAGGTTGCGTGGTTCTCGAGATCTTAGGGGGGAGGGGGCCAATTTGCCCTCCCCCCAGCAGGGCGCGTTGCTCGGCAGACCCCAATGGGGCGCGGGTTAACGCTGATGAGAGATTCCATTTATTGATTGATTCAGTATTTAGATTCCTATCCCCTAGTTTGGCATACTGTTTAACGGGCTCCTTAGAGGGACCCTCACTTTCCTTAAATCTAGGTAGGTACTCATTTTTCACCAATCACCCATGCTTCATTTCGGAAGAGTCAAGTTTTTGTGTACCTTAAGATTGTAGACTGTTTAATGGCTTCCTTTTGGCTGTTTCAGGGATCACCTCGACTACTTTTAGGGCCACGATAGCGGTATCGACAAAGTAGGCGATCGTGATCTGTAAAGCTGCAGGACCGTCACAGAACAATTTCTGTTGTAGTATTTCGCAAAACCCCCGCATTCTGCATATCATTGGAAGCATAATTTTATTTTTAAAGTTGTAGGTCGTGTAGCTACACGAATACTCCCAACAAAATGCAAGAAACAATTGCAGGCACGTACCTAGGATTTGGCCAGGGGGGGGGGGGCGGAGGATCCCGGGAGACCTACTCTCTACAGGGGGCCTCCTCTCTACAGAGGGCAAGGGAGCATCTAGGCGAACGTTTTTTTTTTGTGGTGGGGGGGGGGAGGTTACAGGTCGGCCGACATGCCGGGTCTGATGGATGAATTCTGACGACCGGGGGAGGGGGAGCGAGTATGTCGAGATCAAAAGACATTTTGTCTTCGTCGTTTCTAAGATGAAGCTTTATCGTTATAAGTCACTCGGCTTAGTAGGTTTAGTTAAATTCACCTATGCAAGTGCGTCGCCACGGATTTCTCACTGGGGGGGGGGGGGGGACGTATCGACCGACTTAACCCGCGCCCAGATGGGGTCTGCCGAGCAACGCGGTCTGATGGGGGGGGGGGCCATTTTGGCCCCCCCCTCAGATCTCGAGAACCACGCAACATAGCGACAAGCGGTAAACGGTGTTGGATAGCCCCAACGGGGAACTACCTTGTGACCCAATTTCATTGACCTCGGTCAAACCGATGACGTCACAGGTCAGGTCAAAGGTCGAATTTTCACCGTTTACAGGCATTTCAAAAAATGCGTTGTAAAATCGTGTAAAATGCATTTCATTGAAAATCATCGATGGGGAAATGTTCTTGAAACACATATTTTGCTATTTGAGGTCACTGATACCAGGTCAGGTCACAGAGGTCAGGTCACTGGGGGGTCACAATATGAAAGTGTCGTGTGATACATGTTTTATGGTCCATTTTACATGACAAATGCGATTATGTGGGTCAGACAGACTTTAGGGCCAGCTTAGGTCACGTTTTGGTCAAGGTCAGGTCAAGGTCAGGTCAAGGTCAGGTCAAATTAGGTCAAATTTCAAAGTTGATATTTTTGCATAAAATGGGTATCGATTCGATGCAGCTCGTCACGGGGAGTTCAATGGTGGTCTCCGTTTTGCGCTACGAGGTCTAGAATTGCTAAAAATTGAGTTCAAAAATTTGACGTCATCAATTTTTAACAGTTTTTTCGCTATAACTTGGCCAAAAAAAGAGGTATCGATCTAAAATTTGGTATGTATATCGAAGAGCGCAGGGTCTATCACATATATTCCGGTTTTTTCGAAATTCGAAAAATTTTTGGAAATTTTTTGAGTTTTTCTGAAAAAATCAATTTTTTTGATTTTTGGGGGTCAAAATCCAAAAATTTCGAAAATCCGAGATAGCAGTTTTGTAGCGCCGTCTTTTCTCTACACAACCACATAAAGAACTTTAAAATTGCTTGTTAACTGTAGAATTGGTGAGCGTTTCAAGATGTCATGTTTTTTGCTCATTTTTACTCGAACATGACCTCAGTTTGACCTCAATAACTCCTGACCTGAGGTGACCTGTGACTTGAAATTTTGTGTGAAGGTGTCAAATTGATGTCCGGTAAGGTACCCAAAATTTGGCGGCGCTGCGCGCCGCCGTTTTCTCGCTATTTAAGAAAAACCACAGGGGGGGGCCAAAATGGCCCCCCCCATCAGGGCGCGGGTTAAAAACCCAGAAGTTGATATTGTTACCGCACTTTTAGCCTAATGCAATTAGAAGCATACAGTAGCGATCTCTCTTATGTTTGTGAATCAGCGGCGCGAAGCGCGGCGAAAATTTGCAAATCTTTTTTTTTTGTCAAAACATAGCTCAAACACAAATTTTATGACCCTTTTAGCATGCTAGTACAAGCCGGAGTTCCTTAACAGTACACATATGAATTTTGATTCAATTTGACATTGTTGGTGTTATTACAGTCACGACCTTTCTTATTGATTGGTGTAAGAATCGGAGGCACGGAGCGCCGAGAAAATTTGCAAGAGCATTT